ATTTAAGCTCATTATATGTGGTTGACAATTTCAGGTCCGAGCAAGGCAACTGGAATGGAGTTCGATCAGAATGTCAGACGAATCCTTTCACTATGGATGCCTGGGGCGTCACAATATTTTTGGGTCGTGTCATATATTGACACCCCTAGGTTGGTGAGACTTTTTAGGTTGGCTATTACAATATTACTTTGTTTGTATTTTTTATTAATTTTTTTTAAAAAAAATTAATTATAATACAAAAAATAAATTATAAAAAAAATATATTAATATGTGAAGATAAATTAAATTAATTTTAGCTGGGCTCTCTTCCATTTTAAGTGGGGCTTAAATATTAAAAAAATATATCTATTTATTTTTATGTTAACATTTTACTATTTTGTTCTTCTTCGTTATAGGAGAATAGTATATCGAATCTCCTTACAAATTTAGCTCCTCACTTTTGAGCTAGATATGGGATATTAAAATCCAAATTCATTTATATTTTTTGCATTTTCATGCATTATTCTTCCTCTAACTAGTATGATGTGGTCTTATGACCTCATTCTTCCTAACTTGGTTCCTCAAACTTGAATCAAGTCTTAGATATTAAAACATAAGTCCCTCTTACCTTTTGTTCAATATTTTCATGTGTCATTCTTCATTATCATGTGAGGACTACGACCCATGAATATCTTTCTATCCAGTTAAGCTCCTTCATCCATAAGTCTAATCTAATTTAAAAAAACTTAAAATAAAATAAGTGAATCCACAATTGTCTATTGGGCATGATACTCATGTTGTCATATATGGCTCCTTACTAAAGCTAACTCATGGATGTGTTAATCATATCATCTAATATGTAGTTTCATCTTGATAGGATATGATGGACCATTCGAGGTGACTTTGAGTTAAAAGATTACCTTCAAGTTCATCTTCTAATTTATTCCTATACACACTTGTGCTAGGTTTAGGATATCAAAACCTTTTGACCTCAACATCAACATCTTTATGCATTATTCTTCCTTTTTATATGAAGGGTAGGATCCTTTGACCTTTCCACCATAGTTGGGCTCTATTACCTTTGAGTTGGTCTAGTGTAATAAAACTCAAAATCTATATATAATATATGCTACATTAATATCAAATTCTCTATGTTATGTCCTTGAACTCCTTACTAGAGGCAACCTATGAATATAATGATACACACTCTATCATATGGTTTAATCAACTCGATTATAATGGATGGACTCTTTCAAGTTAATACTAAATCAAATTGAAAAAAAAAATGTTATTTCCTTTAAATTCTAAAATTTCTCTCTTTGATAGAAGGTTGTGCAATACTTATTTGAGTTTATTCCAATTTGTATCTCTTATTGAACCCCATGAGTCGGGTGTACATAAGGGTTTTGATGATTATAAATATTATTGCTTATAATAATTATTAATTAAATTATATGGGTAGGAAAATAGTTTTTTACTAAGGCTACAGGAAGCACATGGGTGAAGGATTCAGGAAGAGAACTTGATAAAGCTGAAAAATTGAACACGAAAAAAAATTGAACACGAAGAATCTACAGTGTTAAAGAATACCAAGAATTAAATGAGTGTCAACTTGTAATTTATATATTTTATTTTATTGACTCTTTATGTATGTTAGGCATAAAGTGGTTGAATGTTTAGTTGAAAAGTTTTGAGTTTGAAAAAGTAATTTTGAAGTTTTTTTTTAATTTGAAATTGACTTTTAAATTTTAATTTTGAAATCGAACACACCATCAAAAATGATATTTCACCTCAAAAAGTGAAAATAAGGTTTCTTAGTGGGGTTTAGACTTAGAATTGCAAATTGCATCCCGAATATCCCAACTAAATTCAGGAGAGAACAACATGTGACCCCGAAGAGTTAAAATGGAATTCAATCAAATATCTAGCAACGATAATTTAGATGGGTTATCGTTAATTTTATATTTAAAGTCACAACAAAAAATGATATATCTTCCCAAGGGAAGAAGATATTATCCTTTGTCAAATATTTGAATATGATGATAAAGTTCGTCAATGATTTTGATTTTTTCAAAAAAGATTAATTAAGTTTTGAAAATTGATTTTGAAAGTAGATTTGTGTTCTAATTCTCTTATGAGTGCAAGCCTTTATAGTTAATTACATCGTAGGAAACTAGAGTTTCATATGGAAACTCTCGATTAAAATAACTACATAAATTTTATATGGAGTTTTATATGGAGTTTTTCAAGGAGTGATACCAAAAGAAGTGAAGTTGGAAATCTCAATTGGGATTATATCAAAGTTTGAATACTTATTCTCAGAGGTCAAATAAGAAAAAAGTAGGAGGCACTTTGGGATTCTGAAACTATTCTGAGGTACCCTAGCCTACCATATGTGTTGGACTTTAAATTTTGGATTGAATGATATTTGTTTAATTCATGTTATGATTTTGTTAGAAAGTTGAGATTATATTCCAGAAGGTTGGAGTCTTATGATTTTGATTATGCCTTGAATCCTAAGTCCACTTCGGGCACTGGACATAAATTAATGTTTATTACATATTATTCGTACAAATATTTTAAACAAGATTGTAAAAATTTCAATTATTTCTTCTAACAAAAAATCAATCCCTAACAAAATGTTCTGCCAATGATTGTTAACACCAACAAATGGTGCACATACAAAATTATACTTGTTGAGCCTGTAACTAGTATAAAAAATTAATATATCTCCAAAACATTCATAACTTATCGTGTCTCTCCCATCAACTCAGAAAAAATTTTAATAATATATCATACTAATTAATTTGAATATCTCATACGAACATGTGGTCCTCAACTTGTTGAACTTTAAATAATTGAATCAAAAATTAGTGTCACCAAATTCAACCCTTACTCTTTTCTCCAGCTGAATAAAATTGTAGGCATCCATCCTTCTTAGAGAATCCAACATTCTCATATCTTGCAACTTCCTCTGCAAGGTAGGCATATGCATTAACGGTTCTAATCCTTGCATTTGTCATTGATTTTAGGATGGAAGCTTTTTCCTCAACAACATTTATACATGATCTCAGAAGGTGTTGCTTGGTTAGGCTAGCCAATTCATGGTTATGTGATTCAATAAATTTTTTGACATACTAGTAACCATTTTCATCAACTATAAACCTCACAGTAAATAGACAACCGGTTCTAACATCTTAGTAAATTTTTTTCTTGAATTTAGATCAATACTTTTCTTGAAAACCAACTTTTGAATAAACAAAGTCCTTAGATTTTATATTCATAGAATTTGGCCAGAAACTGTGATGATCCTTCCGGGCGCTAAAGCCGTTATCATGGGCATAAGTACAGTAATATTAACATGCTTCTCTCTCATCTTTATAAATAGTCTGAAATTATAAGAAAAGATTGCAAAGCACAACTAAAGCGTAACTAAAGTGCAACTAAAACGTAACTAAAGCGCAACTAAAGAGCAACTAGAGCACACAAAAAGCTCACCTAAAGTGAACATGAAGCGCACCTAAAGCGGAACAAATGTGCATCATCTTTATCTTTACCAAACCTAAAAATAATGATGGTTTTCTTCCTAAAAACACTAATGAAAGCTAAACAACATTATCTAAGAGCTTATTTACTTTTTTGTCTAAACCCTAAACGCACTTCTAAGAGCGAGAGTCTCTAATGAGCGGAAACATATGCCCTTTTTCTACACAACTTTGTTTACAACTTTCTAGCTCGTTTTTTTTTTTTTAATACAACTTGCGATTAGTTTGAAACATACTGACATGTTGAAACCTGAGGAAGTTCGAGTTAAGTTAACTTCCGCTTCATGCATCCCTTCCGATTCATGCACCCATTTCCTCTCTTCCGAGAGCATTCCATCACTTTTATGTAATTTTTTAGCTCTTTTTTTCTTCAAAAGCAATAAACATTTAGATTTTTTGAGGGTTTCTAAAATAGCGCCAACCCTATGTTTAAAATGAAAAAAATAATGGACTAAATCGGGTCGGGCCGGGCCGGGCTGATATATATTAAATTAAAAATTATATTAAAAAATTTTTCATATAATTTTCCCATTTGAGCCACTTGAGAGCCCTAAATAACCCGGAAATCTAGCAGCCCGTTCTCGGATCGTCACCCATCTATTAAAGCGTCGCCGGCACAGCCGCAACCAACGCAACCTCCGCTGCTGCCGCTCTCCTACTAGCTGGTTGCTTCCATGGAGGCGCAACCACCATCCGTCCAATCTGCATCCTCCTCGCCGTCGCCGGTGCCGGTTCCGGTGCCGGTGCCGGTGCCGGTGCCGGCGACGGCGAACCCAGCCCAGCCTTCACAACTCTCCCAAACACCTGCGGCATCCCCTGTGAAATCCGAGATTCCAGCACGCGAATCGAACGAATCACTCCCTGCCGCGGTCTCCTGTCTTCCAGATACCCCGCCGCCAGTATCGTATACCATCACAATACCCAGTTGCTCCGGTAATCCTAGGCACAATAGAAACCTTTACATCCACCTGCACTTCTCTTCTTTTCTTTCCTATGATTTCCTTATATTCTATCTAGGTTGGTTTTCCTGGGATCAAATTCACGAGACAGAGAAGAGAATCCTTCCGGAGTTTTTCGATGAGAGATCGTCTTCCAAGAACCCTGGCGTCTACAAGTATTACAGGGATTCTATTATTGGACGTTTTAGAGCGAACCCTTCGAGGAAGATCACTTTCACGGAAGCCCGGCGCGGGCTGGTTGGCGACGTCGGATCCGTACGAAGGGTTTTTGATTTCCTGGAGGCGTGGGGTTTGATCAATTACACGCCTTCCGTGAAGCCACTGCCCAAGGAGAAAAAAGAGGTGGGGGATACGGCGGAGAGGAAGGATAGCTCTAAGAGGCTTTGCAGCAATTGCAAATCGCTCTGCAACATTGTTTGCTTTGTGACGGACAAGGTGAGCTAGCTTCTCTAACAAATTAATTTTATTATTCTGTTTTGATGATGAACTTATTAATGTTATTAAGAGTGGAAAAACAATTTGTGTGCTTTTATTTATCAAACGATTTCAGGTAAATCTGCTGCATATTATCTAGCAGGAAAGTTTGTTTAAAAATTTATGCAGTACTGTAGTTTGAACTATTGATGATAATAGGACCTTTTTTTAAAATTCTGTAATTGATCCAAGTGCAAGAGTTTGCTTTCATCTTGACATAAGAATTGTGTTCATTTTTGAAAACCAAATATTTACGGGGATCTGGTGTGAACAAGGCAAATCGCTCACAATAGAGGTGAATTTTTTTTAATTGCATTTTTCTATGGATAAAATTGATTGAATTCCAAATCACTTTTTTCTGCTCACTGAAGAAATTTTAATTCATTGTCCAATCAACCATATGATTAAAACACAGGATTAAAGCACACACGTTAGTGTAAAAATTAAATGCTGAGGTATCTAACTAGTACATATTATACTGTCTGTCATACACCAAACTATATCTATCATTATATTTTTAGAACCATTGACTAATCTATAGAAATAAATTGTCTTTGCAGAGTAGACATGATATTGTGCTAATCTATGCAACTTCCTAAATTGATATTTGTTTACCATTGATCTAATTGGTCAAATTGATTTCTATTGCCAGTTAACATTTTTTATGACTACAAATACTTTAGTTGAATAATACATTTGGAAATTATCTAATGTTAGATTATATGTTTAGTTTTGGATTGTGCTTACACAACATAGATCATGAAGTCTTTAATCTAGGAGAAACTGAGACTTTTACTTACATTTATGATTTAAGTTGTTTGTGTTCAAATGCTTTGAATTATTTTTTATGTTTAAAAATTTTATTATTTTTTATTGTTTAAAAATGGCATGAATTTGTAAAGGTCTATTATTGCCAATAATCTTTTATGATCTTCATACTACTAATTTAAAGTTCTATGGTTGCTAAAAAACTTTTAAGAGCTTCATGATACTTGTTAATCATTAATCTTTTTCTTGAATTGATAAGACAAAAATTTCTATTTTACAAAACAAAAAGGAATAATTAGAACTTTCCTTTAGGCTACTTTCAAATATTGCTTTTAAGTAGGAAACTACTTCTCATGTTTACTAAGTTAAGTTTTCTTTTTGAGTCTAAATATTTTCTTAAGCCACCTAATGGGAAAGCTATCAATATTTATTATACCAAATATATGACAATTGTGGCTGTCATAATAGTGAAAAATATATCTCCTCTTGGCACCCTAGTTTTGCAATTTGGCATCTTACCTCTCAAATTGAAAGTTTAAACTTTAAACGTGAGGGAAATAAAATAATTCTTGTTTAACAATTGGTTCATGATGAGTTGTCTCATACCAATTGTGTTACTTCTTGAAGTCTATAAATTGAGTGGCCATTATAGCTACAACTCTTTCTCTCTTGAAAAAATCTTCTCAAAAAGCTTTCAATCTCAGCAAAGCCCTCAAGTTTTTTTTAATTCTTTCATTGGATTTAAGCTTCTCTTTCAATATTTGGTTTTTAAATTTATTTCTTATAGTGTGATCTTTAAACAGGATTTCAACTTTTGGTATTGTTCAACTTTTGTTTTAGGTTGATAAACATATATATATATATATATATATATATATATATTTTTGCTATTTTGAATTTTAACTAAATCCTTAGAGTTTTTGGCAATTGAATTGTGCGGCCTATTTTGTGTTTGTTCCCTTGATTAAGACTACCACCAAATAGGTTGATGTTGTAGTACCTTGTAATTAGGTAAGTTTGTTGGACAATTCAATGCTGCCAATTTGTGTCTAGTGTTGCAGTTTAGTTGTAGATAGTATGTGTTTAGGCCTTGAGCCATAAGAAAATTACTTTTAGAAGTTTTGAGTTTGGAAAATGTTTTAGTGCAACCCAAGGAGAGGCTTCTAGATGGATGTAGGGGTGTCAAAATGGGTCAATGGGCTGGATTCTGGTCCGACCCAAACTTGACCCCAAATGGTTGATATAAGATTAATGATGTTAATGAGACAATTCTTTGAAAGCTTGTGCAGTTTCTTTCATAAATTAAAAGTGTCTTTTTTATTAAGTGATCTACGTCTAGGGCTTTTTCCCTATAAATTTCCTTATCAAATATTTGCTTGTTAAGTTGGTGATTTGCATAAATTAATTGTTATCCATTTTGTTATGGTCCCATTTGGTTAGTTTGAGTTAGAAAATATGTTTTGAGAAATGATAAAATTTATTAGGCCCATTATTTATTGGGTGCAGTTAATCAACATTGGCATTAAGCTCCACAAGCCCTTTTTAAAATACCCCAAATGTACTGATTCGATTTCACAATCAAAATGAGTGAAAATAATCAGCATTTTTTTAATAACATGTTTTCTATCTACTAACAAACAAATGAGCCCATACAGAAATCTACAATGTTCAATAACTGGAAAAATCTAACCAAGGTATATTAATATGCTTGCTGATAGCCTCCATGTCAGCTGCATATATTTTTCAGATTATTACCCCTTGATATTTTTTTCTTGATTAAAGAAACGTTACCGTTATGACTGTTATTTTGAGTTTGCATACTAAGGAAAGTTCAGCCCTCAGTTCTTTGGCTTACCTTCTGATGTTGATTTAAAATTCTAACATTGGATTCGTTCCTTCTGAACCCCTGATTATTTTATGGGACAACATTTAAACAAACGGTTGCATTTATTTTCAGTAATTACTTGTTGGACTAGTCTTGTTTATGCAGAAACGAGCTTGCATCTCATTATTCTTTCATTTTACTGTTCTATCCAATCCAGGCAGATATAACTCTCTGCGCAAGGTGTTTTGTCCGTGGCAATTATCGTGCTGGTCTTAATTCAGCAGATTTTAAACGTGTTGATATTAGTGAAGAAACAAAGACAGAGTGGACAGACAAAGAGACCCTTCATCTTCTTGAAGCCATTTTGCATTATGGTGAAGATTGGAAAAAGGTGGCAGAACATGTTGGTAGTAGAAGTGAAAAAGATTGTGTTGCTAGGTTCATCAAGTTGCCATTTGGGGAGCAGTTCTTGGGGCCTTCTGAGTTTACTGAAAATGACAAGGTTGATGCTGAGCCTAGTGGCTATAATATTGCAGAGTTAAGTCTCTCAAAAAGAAGGCGTTTAACACCTTTAGCTGATGCAAGCAACCCCATCATAGCTCAGGTGTGTCTCTCGTCTCTCTTATGAACCCCTGCATTCCAATTCTCATTTTCAATGGATTAAAAAAAGAAGCTAAGTATGGTCATAAAGTTTCTAACAAACTTTAAATATGCCTGAAATTATAATTTATATGTGCGCATTTATGCAGAGATGATGTAATTGGTAAATTGAAACATGTCATCAGAAGAAACAAAAATTAACAAGCTATCACGACCAACAAAAAGGTGGTCGTTTTGGTTTTGTCTGAGGAAAATTTTGGCTGAAACTATCTTATTTCCAACTGCCTTGCCCGATTGTTAACCACCATATATAATGTTTATAACTAATATATTGTGGATTTTTTATGAAATGAATAATTGGATAGGTTCTGAGTAGAAGAATGGAGTTGATGCTTTTATATACCCTCTCATTTTTACATTAACCTTTTTTTAAGCATAGAGAAAAAGAATATTCTTGTTCATGACCATAATAAATGTTGGGATCGTGGAGGAATATTATTAGAGCATTGACGATTGTAAATGTGATCGATTTTACGAAAGAACTTTCAATGTAATAGAACCATAAGATGCAAAATGGGATTTGGATTTATGTTAGATGGGGATAAATGACCGTTTGTAATATGAGAAATATTAAAATTTGCATGGAAGTTTTTGTTGAACTTTATAGGCTTGAGTTGATCAGATTCCTTAAATTGCAGAGTTGCTTTCTCATCATGAATTCAACAGTCTCGTTTAATCTCCTTAAATTCTAACTTTGCATATAATAGTGCTTGCTTCATAACAATGGAGGAGCATTAAATATCAAGATGACGATCTTACGGTTTATGAGACTTTGACGGAGTTCATCAACTGCCATACAATTGTTTAGAAAAAAAATGCTAAAAAGCTTGACGTACCTTCCATCCTCCTTATCCTTCAACCAAAACTATGATGCATAGACATGGATGCGGTGACATGGATACGACGCGGTACACTGCAATTATTGAAAATATGGGACATGGACATGGACACAGACACTAGTTGGATACGGTATTATAATTTTTATATTTAAAAAATAGTGTATAAAATTTGAATAAGTATAATATTAAAAATAATTTAGAAATAATAAATCATTTAACTAGAATTTTTGCTTAAAATGATTAATATTAAGATGTTGAGAGTCTGACGTTGATGTTGTGTATCTGATATCGAGAGAGGAGACGACAATGTTGTCGAGAGTTAGCCATCGATGTTATGCAGTAAGTATTGAACGTCAATGTCAAGAGGGTGTCTGTTGTTGATGTTGAGAGGGCGTTGATCGTTAATGCTAAGAAGACGCCGAACAAAGATGAACTGTCAATTTGTGGGTGTAGAAATTGCTAGCGTCGAGCATCAATGTCAAGATAATGTCAGACTTTGATGTTGAGATGTTTTTGAAATGTCGATGTTGTAACGATCTCAGACATCGATGTTGAGATGACATCAGACATTGTTGTGAAACCAAAGTCACGTCTAGCAAAAGAGAAATAAAAATGAGAATATTCGATGAATGGGATATTGAGTGCGAGTGATTGATTTGGTATTGTGTATAGAAAATAAAAAATTTAATTTTTATATTTTAAATAAATAAAAAATTAAAATACAAAAAAAATTATATTTTTTAAAAAATTCATAAAATATTTTAGACACGTATATCGGACACGGGTGTTCAATTTGTATTTAATTTTTTTTAATCTGACATTATTTTGGTGCATCGGAGAAGTGTCGGACGCGTGTTGTGTCGGATACGTGTCATACACTGCACGCCTCTTTGAGGAGAAGTATAGTTGTGTCATGGGTACAAGGGAAAATCTTTTCTTTAGGGGTGTCAATATTTAACTCAACTCGAAACTCGACCTGGATCTAAATCGAAAAATTTTGGGTTTGGGTCAACTTGTTTGTCATATGGGTCGGGTTCGAGTTGACCCTGAAACCCTAAGGTGACCTGAATTGAACAGGATCCCCGCTAGCGACCTCCTCCCATGCTCGTGATTGCGCAGGTTGTTGGCCCCGCTCACCCTCCCGTAGTCCTGCGCTCGTGTCTGCACCAGGACCTGCTCCCGTACCCACGCTCGCGTGACGCGCCTGCACATGAACTGCCAAATCTGCGCTAGCTCCCTTGCTCCCGCACCCTAGCTCGCTCGCAACCCCTTCACCCTAACAATCTATTTGGACTCGGGTCAATTCCGGGTTCGACCGGAACCCAACCCGAATACCTATTTTGACACCCCTACTTTTCTTGCATGTTTAATTTTATGATGAATTTTTTATATCATCTTTTATAAGTTGGGTATTGTATGATTCAAATTTATCTATGGTTGACACCTGACTTTACTAGCATACAAGCTTCAGAGGTATTAATCTGTGAGCCTATGTGAGAATGGAGAGAAAGAGGATAAAACTCTACAATAAGTAGCTAGCTTAAGTATTCTATTGTAAAAATGACAAAAGATTCAAAATGTTCATCTTCATCTCTTATTTATAAGAATATGAGGACTACAAAAAAGATTACATTAATAAAGAAATAAAAAATACATGAATAGATGACTCTCAGTATAGACTACCTTAGATATATGTCATTCCCTGACTAACTTGATGGATGATTGTCTTTTTTAATGTTATTTTTCTTTATTGTGGAAAGTCTCGCACTGCCGAGTACATAAAGGCGAGCAAGTGTAGACGAGTCTGCTGGTGAGTGTTCAATTGAGAGGGTTGTAGTTGACAAACATCCCAAAATCATTGATGACCTATGTTGGAGCCCCAATTTGTCTTGAAGTAGGAGGTGAGCAAATTTGAGTTGCGAGGACGGTAGGTTCCATAGTCAGCTAATTGTGATGGGCGAGTTGGAACCCTCTTTGATAAATACTTTCCTATCCCTTGGTTGACGAGCATGGTTGGCGACAATCTGTCATAGATAGTGGCTAGTGACTTCAGTGGCTACTTTTTTTTTCGTTGGCTACTACTTGTTGGAGGGTGAGTGATGAAGTTAGTAGTCAGTGAGAACCCTTAATTGTCCTTGTGAGAGGCGATTCCTCTCCGGGTGTCTTGTCAAGTGAGTTGTCGACAACCATCGGGCTTGTTCCCTTGTGGGTCCACAATGTATGAGTCCTGCTATGATCCGTTGACTATCTGTTGAATATCTGAAATGGCATATGCAACTATACATGTATGATATTATAGCTTGGGTGAATTGTTAGGACAAGGGGAAGGGTGGGTTAAATGGAAGACCTTAAAAGAAATTGCCTTTTTTGGGTTATAAAGCCATAATGATTTTACCTAGAAGTTGTTTGTAGAAATGATTACTCTTGCCAATGATTATTAGCATACATATTAATATGCATTCATATTCTATTTCATAGACCACTGACTTGTAATTTATGTCAAGTGAATTGCTCCATGAATGCCATGTCCAAACATATGTGATACCTAATTTTCTTTTGAAATACTGGCACTAGGGGTTTGCATCTCTGAAGTATGCTTTCTTCATTATCCTTTTGTTGTGATATGAATGGATCTCAGTCATCAAGATAGTTTTATTGGGCTAAGCTGCAACTCATTGTGATTTTTCCATTTGAGATGCTTGGCATGGCTGCATACTTTCTCTTGAAAACTAAGTCTTTGGATATTTTCACTTCACTAAAACTTTGTCAATTTTATGACAAATCTCAATTTTTGTCTTGTTTATCAGGTGGCTTTTTTAGCTGCTATGGCCGGCCCTGAAGTAGCTGAAACTGCATCTAAAGCTGCTGTTGCTGCTTTAAGTGAGTTTGAACTTTCCAGCATCAACAATGGCAATGATGGAAATATTGGTTTGAACAATCAAGAAATTGAGGAAGCAAGTATGCAGTACCGTTTGCCTTGCATCTATTATATGTCCTAGTTATATTGAAAATTCGTTTGTTTAACAAAATGTACGCTTTTGATGCTTTGATAATGCCTTTTCAGTTAATGAGAATGTATCTCTCATTATTTTTTTTATTCCAGTAATGAGCTGTCATCATTCTAGCAGCATTCTCGTTTGTTTATCTCTAGAGTCAACCATTGCAATTTCACCAAACTTGCTAAGTTCTACTTCGGTTTCTATTTCATATTCAGGAAGAGGCACTAAAACTAACAATCTTCTTTCGTTGATACTTTTGAAACAGATGATCAGACTCACCAAGTTTACAAAGACGCTGCTGCTGAAGCACAGTCGCAGCTTAATAAGGAGCAGCAAGATATAGAACAATCAATATCAGGCATTATTGAAGTCCAGGTACTTAATCATACCGCTACTGTTGATAAATCCTATTATTCCTTTTGTATTTTAAATAACGAGGCTGACGGATGTTTTCAGATGAAGGAAATCCAAGATAAACTAGTACATTTTGAGGAGTTAGAGCTATTGATGGAGAAAGAGTGGCAACAGTTGAAATATATGAAGGATCTTCTCTTTGCTGATCAGCTCACCATTCTGCAACAGAAGCCTAGACTAATGCCACAGAAACTTTAGGTGAGAAGAAGGTCAAACCTGCTGTTCCCTCTTTAAATTCGAATAAATTAATTATATTTTATTTCAGTTTGTTGGGTGTTTCTTAGCACAATATGCACTCTCTCTCTCTCTCTCTCTAGAGAGAGATCTGTTCCCAAGAGATCTTACCATGATGTCTAACCTCCCACAGCTGTTTGAAATTCCTGGAAGATAAATCAGCTTAGCAAGGCTTAGATATTGGGTTGACTCATGGGTGGGTAGGAGATCGGCATGAATGCTATCTTGTTGATTCAGCCTTTTGAGGGATATATGATCCATGGAATTGGTAAGTATTTTAACTTCTAGCCTTCTAGGACAGCTGAAAGCTTTCTTGAATCAAGTATACTAGATCATATTTGCTAGGAAGCTAATCATGCTGTTGATTGGATTGTTTATGTTGGTTCAGAAACCAAGAGAAACCAAGAGATGAAAGTTTTTCAAAGGAATTGCTCCAGGTGGCTTCTTATTTGAAGTTACAAGAGAAATGGAGTTTGTTTTGAAGATGATATAAAAGTATGGCTTTAGATCCATATTAGATAAGGTATTGGGATTAAGAGTTATGGGAGTTATTATAGATATTTGATTAACAAAACCTTTCAATTTAAAAATATAAAGATTAATAGGATGTAAATTAATTAAAGATTAAGAAATTTGCGCACCAATTACACCAAAATAAATTTTTAGAACAATGCGAGCACTGTATACATGCCCTTGCGTGCGTACGTTAGCTCGTTCGCCAACATTGATTGATAGTTGGCTAGCTCTAGCCAATTCATGCCTGATTTTGGGCTTAAATAAGCTTAATTTAGTTTTTTTGGGGTAGCAGAGGATTTTTTTTTTTAAATATTTGAACTCAATTTTGATACTTTCAAATTATATTGGAGCCTTTATAACTAACTTTTAGTAATTTTAGAAAGTATGAAACAAAATTTTTTAATGATTTTACTCCAATAAATGCATCTAATTGATGGAAGTCAGGTGACAATGATTCTGGGGAATGATCATGCATCATATTTTTTTTGTGAAATTATAATTCCACATCTTAGATTTTTATATTTTTGTAAGATATAAGCTCCCATATTTGAAAATGAGAAGAAATTAGTACATGATTAAAAGTCTTTAATCATGTACGAATCTTTATGTATACTTGAACTAGAAATTTCATGAATTAAATTCAGGATCATCTGAACTTAAGTTCAACAAACTTATAGGTAACTTGAATGTTTAGATGTGATGAACTCATTTAAACCAAAGTGGTTTGATTCGACTTTAATGAGCCTAAAATGAATCACTTTAAGTGTAATTAAACATTTTGAGATATTAGTTAGATGATAAAATAATATCAAAATCTCACATACTTATAGTCAAATTTAGCATTTCAATAAGGTGAATCTAACGAGTCAAAGTTATATAATTTTGATATAATTAAGAAATTTAAATGCTAAAAGAAACACTTATGATTGAGAGAATCAATACGAACTTTCTGATAGAGTAATTTGAATGTTGGCTATATTTATAAGGACATGTTAGTTTCAAAAATCTATAAACAGACCTTCACTCTCTGCATAAAAATCTTGGCTTAGGACTTAAGAGAGTTGAAAGGCATAAACAATTTTAGAGCTCAACTCGCGCGCCACCATTGGACCGGCAATCTAGCACCGTATAATCCTTGCCATTAAACTATTACTCAACCATTGTTGTTGGATCGGTGTTGTTAGATCATCATCCGATTATCACTATTAAAATGTCGTTGTTTGACTACATTATTGAATCATCGCCACCTGACTTTCATTAATGACTAACCGTCATCTAGTTGTAGTTGATTAATCATTATCGCCTGACTATGGTTCCAAACTGCTATCGCTTGATTGTGATCCATTGTCCATTATTGTCCGACTATGATTCTCAAACCATTTGTAAAACCCGAATTTGATCAAGTATATGCCACATTTGACTCAATTTAAAAATACCCCAAAATCTCAACTTTTATGAAATTCAACAAATTTAATATCATTTTGTTCTACTCGTTAAATGAAGCAATTCAGAACTATATGTAGAATTATAAAGAATTGGAAGTTAGGGAATACAATCACATTTGTATATTTATTATTTTCCTAAGCTAATAAAATATATTCACTATTTAAGTATGCGCATTAATGTAGCAAGGTCAGTTTATCTCTCGACGAAGGCATACACCAAAGCATGCATCAGATAGTGGTGTGGGCACTTAGGTAATTGTACTTATGTAGTGCTCTAATTTTTTACCGCACTTGTTAGCGCTTTAATAAATTTCCCTTGCCAACCGAAAGCTCATTTTCTCCTTATTGGGAGCTTGCGAAAGTTCTGGAGCGGGATTAGATCGCTGAAGGCGGAGCAGGTAGGAAGCTGGGGGCGGATTTTACTTCTCTATTTTATTGTATTTATTCATTGAACATTAGTTGGTTTATATACAGAATACCGTAGTGCGGAGGAAATTTTGATGAAAAACTCTAGTTGTATATGCAAAGGGAGAATCAGGTCTGTGCTTGAGAATAGATTTAATTGCACGAATAGAATGGTAAATTGTGTGAATCATTGATTAATGATTTGAGTATGTTTAGGCGCCTTATGCGTGTAGGCGGACGCGAGGTGTCCGACTGAGTGAATTAGTGCATCAATAAGTTAAGATATGCAATTTTGTTATATTATGCTAGTTGATTGAGTATTGTCTATATGCGTGCATTTGGATTAGTGGTGAGTGACATATATATTCGTATTCTTACCTAATATTAGCTTAAAGTTATGATCCATGCGGCCATTCCACATATAACCTGTAATAGGTGATTTCATTATATAATGCTGCTATGTACAATTCAAATATACATGCTCATATTTTGATACACCCGACAGTTATATCAATCTACATGTATGTGCATAGTCATATATATGATCAATTGTCACATAACCCAAACATGGAAATGCAATGATCTGATAAGCTTGGGAGAATGCCATATCAGATGATATATTGGTAGGGCAATGCGATCTTGATGGGCAGTGCGATGTTGATATGATATTAAGCTTATGGGCGATAGAGACTGACCTTAAGAAGCATGCGACCTCCGAAGATTATGGGATGGAGACCCAGACCCTCACATCTAGACATAACACATTCTGAGTCTGAAAAAGGGAATTATGAAATGCACTGAAATCTATTTATGATTACTTATGGTGATATGAGATGTTGAAAAACAACTGACAAGATATAATTTACACACAATATATCATTTTTATATATGAATACAATTTGCCTTATGTAATGATATTAATATAACACTGCATAACTCTTATGTGTAGCAGAGTTGCATTAGAGTTGCATATGTTTATGAGCATTATAGCTCACCAGATGATTATTCTGGTTGTTGCAGGAAAGGAGAAGGAGAATGTTGAACCAGAATAGTGTTAAGTTCTATTTGTATTTTTTTTGTTTATTTTGGGTCAATGTAAGAAAAATTTTTTTGAGGTTAGTAGTTTGTTATTAGTCACCTGTTTTGGTTTTGGGTAAATACCCTGTAAAAGAAAGTTTTTGGTAATGAAAATTTGACAGCTTCCGCTTATGATCGATGTTTTAAGTCATGATTTCTTTCAAAACTTGTTCTATATTTTTATCGCAGGTAGTATATTGAATCTAATATGATAAAGTTAGTGATTGATAGCCTCCTCTTTGTTACATTCCACGTTGACTATTTAGAGTAGAGTTGATGTGGAGCGTGATACCACTATCACCCGAGTACGATCTCCTACCCATCATTGCTTAAGATATTTCGATTATTGTCAGTGACTATGATTCTCGATCCGCCGTCACCTAACTATGTCATTTGATCAATATCATCCAACTATGATTTCCTAACCACCATTCTCTCATTAATATTTTTAGTTTAATATTATAGTAGATAATTAATTTTTTTGGGGCTTAAAATGTGATATTGTAGCATACTAGCATTTCTATAATTAATAAAAAAATTATACAAACATCATCAAAATTTTACATGTATAAAAAAAAAAGAATTATTAAATTCGTGCATTTGTATGTCATGATCATTTATTAATGAAAGCAATGCATTATTATTATTATTATTATTATTATTATTATTATGAATTTTAATACTTGGATGAAAATTTGCAGCATAACAGTATCAAAATAATAATTTTACATAAATAAATTAAATATTCTAAAAAATATTTCTTAATGAAATTTGTATGAAATTTCTTAATGAATACATATTGTGTCTGCTTAAATTCTATTGTTGATTGTGTGAAATTTCTTCTGAGATAAGGATTAGCTTTTTGGGTATGATGAGAGTTTTAACTCCAAAAATCAAGAAAATTCTCTTGAGCTACTGTAATTTTTAGCAAAACATAATGAAGATATAAGTAATATTGTATTGAAGAATACTCATGAGAATTTGAAATTGATTGCCCATATTATTCAGAAAGATATTTGTAGAGCTATTTCCATTGCAATCACAGACCGCGTAAAGAGGAAGTTGGTGACAGATTCTTCTCTATTCTCATTGATGAAGCTCGTGATGTATCAGGGAAATAACAAATGGTCGTTGTTATACAATATGTGAAAAGAGAAAGGCCAAATCATTGAACATTTTTTGTGTATTGTACATGTACCTGAAATGTTAGCTAAATGTCTCAAAAAAAAAGTTGAACAAGTCCTCTCAAATTATTGTTTGTCTTACTCTAATATTCATGGTCAAGGTTATAATGCTGCAAGCAATATGAGTGGACAATTTAATGTCCTTAAAGCACTTTTCCTAAATGATGTTAAAACTGTATATTATATTCACTGCTTATCACACCAGTTACAATTAACTTCAGTAGCAGTTGTGAAAAATTATATTCAGATTGCATTATTGTTTATTATAATTTTAAATGTTATGAATATTGTTGGTGTTTCATGCAAACATTGAGATCAACTAAGAGATAAACATCGTGATTTGACATTAAGTGCATTACAAAATGGTGAGTTGATAACTAGACAAGGATTAAATCAAGAAATATCTTTATGGTGTACTGGTGAAACAAGATGGGGTTCTCACTATGAGTCACTGATTGGATTGATTACAATGTTCTCCTCAGTTACTAATGTACTTGAAATAGTTTTAGAAGATGACAGAAGCTCTGAGGAGAGAGGAGAAGCATATGCATTATTAGATTCAATACAATCCTTTGACTTCTCTTTTAGTTTGCACTTAATAAAAGACATACTTGTAATTATTGTTGAATTATCATATGTTTTGCAAAAAAAAGATGATCGTGAATGTCATGTCTTTAGTTCAAATATCAAAAATTAGATTACAATACATGAGAGATAACAAGTGGGATAATTTTATTAAAAAGGTGACTTCATTTTGAATTGAACACAAAATTTATCACTCCAAATCTAAATGATAAATGGGTTACCCGTAGACGACCTCGACATGGACTTCAAGAAATTGCAAATTGATATCATTATCGAGTTGATATGTTATACACGACACTTGATATGCAACTTCAAGAGTTGAATAATTGTTTCACAGAAACTAATATAAAATTACTTTTGCATATTGCTTGTTTGAATCAATCAAATTTGTTCCATGCATTCAACAAAGAGAAGTTAATTAAAATGATATTCCAATTGAGGTGTGGAATGCACATCATATATATATGACATCATAGAAGTAAGAAATCTTGTCATCTAAACTAATAGATTTTGTAGAATAATTTCTTATTCGAGTCTAATTGCTCAAATTCTATTTTAGAAAAAATGTTGAACAAAATAGTTTCACTATTTGAGTTTCATTTCATGTGCTTATTTATGTATTAATGTGAAAAAATTAGCAGAGTATTGGTAGTAATAAAACTTTAATCTACAATTATCATTTGTATTTATAAATACATTATTAAATAGATATATCTTCAATAAAAAACATTCATAACCACTCACTAATAACTAATGACAAATTCTATTAATATTTTAATCCCTTTACTTTCATTGTGGTAAAAAAGATGCAAAAATCATAATTACAAATTGTGGCAAAACATGAATGAACAATTAGCAACCTTTCATTTTCCAACAGCTCTCCTCCCTTGCTTGTGTATTTTATGAAAGGGAAACATTAGGGAAGTTGCTTAAATTAATTAATTAAGATTATTTTAACTAAAACATAATTGTCTCCACCTCATAATGAGTGTGCATTCATTTGTCTTATTTCTATGAGCTTAATGGAAATTAATAATAATACTAAATCTTGCTCCTTGTCATTAATTATGATAAGAAATATATAGATCTTATCACTGATAACTACTTTGTAGAATAAGCAATATGCATTTAATATGATATCTTAAGACAGAAGTTTCAATAAGAGGTCTCTTCCAAGAAAAAATCTTGTGCTATAAGATTACTATGTAGCTAGCAAAGTTGAAACCAAATTGTTTCCTTCTTCTTTTGTTCTCTTTTGTCTTATGTAATTAATGGTGATGTATGTGAGCACATAGGACATGAATATTTTATGTCTTAGCTTGAATAGGTTAGTTGGGGGGCCATAGGCTGGGTAGGCATGCATATATTTATGTTATGCCAATAAAAGCTTGACTTGCAACTTATGCATATAAATAATTTCCTCAAAGAAAGAAAGGAAGAACTTTATATATATATTTGCTTGAAGACATGGTTTTCTTTTAAGGTATGTGCATGAAAAAGTTAGCCATGTTGAAGTTCGGGAGTTTGATCTTATGTTTTGATGATTTTAAATATCATTTGGGAGATTATATACTTATTTTTGTTTTATACATTGTTTGTTTCTTTTATGCATCACTATCTATTTCGAGTACAACATATGCTGAGATGGATTGAATAGTCAGACTCAATATAGTACAATATAGAGGTCAAAGCCAGCTTATAATAACAGTCATTACTTTTTTTATTTTTTAAGTCATTTTATGTATTAGGTGTATGTTGGCTAGAAAATCAAATACAAACTCGCGAGGGGGATATAAATTCAATATTTGATTTTTTTGTTCATTTACTTTAAGATATGTTAAATTAGAAATTAATTCAAATATCTAAATTAAATCAAATTAATTAAATTGAGTTATAACTAATTGTATTGTACTATCTTTAATTGTACAAGACTGTACAGTACGTTCTTCAATCGTACAAAACAATCTTCAATCGTACAAGATGATCTTCAATCGTATAGGATGATAAACTATTTTGATAAACTCTGCCGTTAAATCTTGGTTATCAAAATTAGGGAAATTTAAAATTTGAGCTAATCGTATTGTATAAATATTTAAAAAATGTTGTTTAATTTTGTCCAGTAGATTAAGGAATCAAATCTTAATTAATGATCATATTGTATGATCCACATCATACATGATGATCAAATAGAAATCTTGTTGGTTGAACCTTGGTTTGTCATGGATGATCCATGATTTGATATAACAAATCGTAATCAACGACTGTATATCGTACAGGACGATCAATGAGGGGAATTGAACAAATTATACATTAAAATGTGAGCATAATACTGTACGATCAGATCAATTAAATTTGAAATTATAGTTTTATTTAAATAGCCACTTTATTTAAATTGAATAAGACTTGAGAGTCTGTATTGATTGGCCAGGGATATATATTTTTTTAAAGAGAGCTTTCGAGAATAAGTCTCCTTGCATATAAGAGGGTGTTCAAAGCACTTGGGAGAGAGGAGGTGAGGTTAAGGGAGAGTTTTTCTTGAGGGTGTCAAGGGATAGTTCTGTGCAATAAAAAAATTATACCTTTTTGAAATTTTATGTATTATAATTCTCTCCTCATAATAATTTCTTCTTTTAAATTATTTTCTATGGCAATCATTCAAATAGATGGAAAGTTACTATGCAAAGCTACCTTATCCTTTTTACTATCCCATTTGTGAATAAAGGCGAAATTAACCTTTTGAGATTCGTTTGATATCCAACCATCATAGCTTAGAGTACTTTCATATTATGAAGCCCGCTTCCAGACTAATTCGGTTCATACTATAAGAATCTTTTTAAGCTATAAAGCTTTTTTCTTTTTTGCTTTTACAGAAAATTTAGGTAGAGATATTTTATCTCAAATTTAATTATGCTAAATTATTAATTTTTGTAAAATATATATAATATATGTATAATTAATCAACTATCATATTGCGTTTATTTGTCAAAACAAATCCAATGACCCAAATTTTATAATTTTTTTTTCTGATAAAACTGAACGGTCATGATTTTACAAAACGTGATTGGAAAATTCTCGTCTTATAAAATTAAAATAAATGTCTTATAATTTGATAAAATTATTTTACAATTTAAGAACTTTCCTTCTATTTTTGTGAAAATTTATGTTTCATTTGGGACAATTTTCTTACTATTTTGCTTTTAAGATCTCAAGCACAATTTCTATTTGGCCATTCCTTTTTCGCTGCTTACAGAAATTTTGCGCTATTAAAAAGATGCTTTCTACAATAGCTTTCAAAAAATTTCTTTCTTCAAAGAGGCTTTATAATCACCTTTTTAAAAAGTTGTAGTCATCCGAAACAAATTC